CTGTGCTGCACCTATTAGATCTAATTACACTCTGCAGTGACGTATTGGGCCTTCATGCTGCGGTGTGGCAGCCCGGTTCTGTTTCAGGGAGGAGCTGATTTCTGAATTTGGACAGACTGACTCGCTGTGAATGTTAGAAATAAAATATTCTTTAACATTCCTGTGATGTCATCTCGCTGTAAAATATCCAATAAAACGCATCGTGTCCGTTCCTGTCTGATAATTACCGGGTCCGGTGTGCTTCAGTTTGAAGTTCTCGTCAGGAAACTTCCACCCATAGATCGACTTCCCTCCAGTCCCATTGTGATTAGTGAAATCTCCACCCTGGAAACACATCGCCGTGGTTACAGCCCAGCAACCGCACGCAGCACAACAAAGGTGAGGTAAAGGGAGAAGCCTACCTGGCACATGAACTGAGGGATCACCCTGTGGAAGGTTGATCCTTTGTAACCGAAGCCATGTTCTCCCGTGCACAGCGCTCGGAAGTTTTCTGCAGGACAGATTTTGCGTCAGTGTCTCGGTCCTCTGACAGTCCAGAGCTTTGAAAGAGTCGCTTCTCTCTCCTGATGGTTCAACCAGTTCTGTCTTTGTGGTCGTTTTAAAAATGAGGAACCGAGGTCGGCAACGTCAGACTAAGACGTGTCTGTAGGGATGTGGGCGAAGATTTTGATGGGATATGTTCCCCTTAATATTTACAACATGTGTATGTGTCTCCTGAATTAAAAACATGAAAAAAGCAGACTTTTATTTTGAAAAGGTTTGACGCCACGATCCCTCTGACAGATTAACAGCAGGTTCAGGGAAACAAGCTGAGATTAAACTTTTCCTGAAGATCCTCCTCAATCGTTCCTACTGGTGACACGTTCTGAACGTACTCAGGTCCAGAGGTTTATAAAGTAAACATCACTGAGGTTATTATGAGGTTCTTGTGAGGTTATTCCCCCAAACCAAAGACATAGAAGAGCCTCTGTAGGCCTCAGCAGGGATAAGATTAAATAAGATAAACTGATCGACACGAGCATTAATATTTCAGAGAGTCTTACTGCATTATAATCCATTATATACATATATTGAACTAATGCACAAACTGGTGCCAGAAACTGACCAGAACGTGCTCCTCACTGCCCCCTACTGTTCACATAAAGCATGTATAGCACCTAAAAACTCATTAACTTCATCCTCCAGTTAATTACAATGCGGTTCTCGATCAGACATCCTTTAATGTTTTAATTATATCAATACAGAAACAATACTCGCGTTAAACAATTATGGTTTCGTTCAATCAAAATAAAACCCATCTGACTGAATAATCTTTATTTTTGTGACCCTGAACCTACAAAAACTCCTCATTACGACCAACCTGGTGCTCTACAGAGGCTTCATTTACTGATGGAGATAATCAGACCAGACTGATGCGTGCCAGATATTTGATCAGCAGCCAAAAGAAAATTGTTCCACAGAGTGTTTGATAGTTTAAATGGATCCAAAACGCCACCAAAGCACTAAGAGTTCTGCCTGCATGAGCAAATCCCTGAAAGGTTTCCTCCCTGGCTCAGAGCGGACCAGCACGACCCGGGATGATGGAGGCTGTTCATCCTCTGACGCAGGTTTTCTGGAAAAATATTCCATCTAAGCAGTGACCTGATGGACGTCTGGTGCACAGAGGAGCCAAACTGTTGGTCCTCCTCAGACGCTCGTCGTCCAGAACCACTGGACCCGTCTCTGGCCTCTTTATTTGTTTTGTCACATCGTGTGAGCTGCTGCACATAAAACCTGTTCATCTAGTTTGTGTGCCGCCTCTTGACCAGCTCGTTACTGGAAACGAGAACCAGTTCTTAATTAACTCACCTGGTGAAATAAAAGGTGAAATAAAATCAATAAAACTTTATTTATCCACTAGGGGCAACTCAGAAGCTCACTGACTATTTAATATAAAGACATAAAAAACCAACAACAATAATAATAATAATAATAACAATAATAATAATAACTGCTTCGTCGTTATTTAATTGTATTTATGTGTACATTTATTTAAATTATTCTGTTGATATTAAACTGTGCACCTTGATAAAGCCACCACTGGTTAAATTCACTGTATGGTGTTTACAATTAAAGTCTTTTTTTTTATAGTAAAAATGATCAATGAAATTTAAAAAATCAATCTTGTGATCCATTTTCAGCTTTGTCACTCATTTCTTGAAACAATAATAAACAATAAATTAATATTAAATTAAGATTATTAACAACATGTCATTAAATATTCCGCTGAGCTGCACTTTTTGAAGTCATATCAACTTTTTTCCAGACAATTAACCCAACACTTGTATAATCCAGCTGCCGAACCGGTTGGACGGAGGACAGCCCATAATTACCTGCGGTTTTCGGTACCACCTCCGCGTTGAGCTGCAGAAAGAAAATAAAACGCCTGAAGGGTCAAACGGGAACGAGCTGCTCTCAAAGTCCAACACAGCAGCTTCTCCTTCATTCATGAACATGCACACACTGACTGATTAAAGGCAGCAGAACTCTGAGGACTGTCTGGGTCTCACCTCGAAGGTGACTCTGCCCAGCGGCTGGTTGTCTGCGGCGATGTCGAAGAACACGGTCGGGTTCTTGTTGGCGGCCGCCGGTCCGCTGCTGTAGAGGCGGGCCGCGGTGAAGGCCAGAGAGCAGAACTTGATCCGGTTCGATAGAAGCAGCATCTTGAAGCAGCTGTGGAGCTCCAGCACCACCACGCTCAGGTCCTGTGAAAGTCACGCTGCCGCACAGCAGAGCAGGAAGTTTCCTTACACAACCGGACGTTTGGTTCCGGGGAAGGTCTCGCGAGATTACACGAGATTTCAAGGAACCGTATTCTTCAGCGCAGTTGGGAAGAAATTGATATATATTTGATCTATAACTTATATTTTAGGATCATTTTTCTTATTTTTATTGTTTCACGTTATTTTTAAAATTTAAAACGTTTTTCAAATCAATTCATTCAATCATATTTTTAAAACACGTAAATTAATTTTATATTTTTATGTTACAGGTTTAGGATCTTATTTATTTGCTATAGTTTGATTTCATTATTTCCCTAATCTCAGATTTGTTTTAGTGTGAAGCACCTCCTAGCTTTGTTTTAGAAAGATGACACACAAATAAAGTTACATATATGAACATAAGAACAACAACAACAACAACAACAACAACAACATTCATCATCACATTAACCCTGTTCAGGACTTTTGGCCTCTTTTGGACCTCAGGCCATTTGGTTTAGGTGACAGGTACTGTGTTTTTATTTTTAAAGATTTCTTTTAAATATTAAAAGAGGGACATTTGTCAGCATTTGGTACCAAACATACGTCAAAATGTATTTAACATCATATAAACGTCTGTAATGAATACCAACAAATATCTTGCACATATTCTGGACCCCCAAATACCTTCTACGTAGGGCAACATGAAAGTCCTGGACAGGGTTAATTCTTAATATTATTATGATAGACTGTACAGGACAATATTCACCTTTTTTTGACACGATATAGACAAATATGAATTAACTTTGTGAGGTGAAAAACAGCAGTTTAATTGGCAATGAAAATAATCATTGTTTGCACAAAAAAATACCAACTGTCATGTGACCGCTAAAGAGGTGATATACCCCATCTATACAACTGAAGAGTTCATGTGCAAGAACAGAGAACTGCATCTTCACAAACCTTCAGAAAACCCCCCTTTCAATCTTCTGCCTGAGACAAAACCATCCATCCATCATCTCTACACCTTGAAGTCTATCCCAGCCGACTCAGGGTGAAGGCAGGTTCACCTGGACAGGTAACCAGTCTATCACAGGGCTACACTTAGAGACAGACAACCAAGCACACTCACATTCACACCTACGGACAATTTACAATCACCAATTAACCTCAGCATGTTTCTGGACTGTGGGAGGAAGCCAGAGAACCCGGAGAGAACCCACGCTGCACGGGGAGAACATGGAGACTCCACGCAGGAAGATCCCGGGTGTCCTCACCGGGACGCCAACTGGCGACCTTCTAGCTGTGAGGCGATGGTGCTAACCACAGAGCCACCTGAAGCCTGAGACAACACCAATCAAACTAAAGCTAAAGCTGTTGTTGTCATTTCTACTGAGTCAGATCCACACAGCCTCAGTTTGACTGATATTATCTCAAGAAAACAACCAAAAAAATAAATGAAAAACAAACTCTTCAATTCTACGATCAAAGCGACGTACATCTGAGAGCAGATATAACAAATCAGGAGGAAGGTGCTAAAGGAAATAAAAAGGTGGGCGAACAACAGAAACACTTATTTTTGTGCTCTCTCCTCCTGATGTGAAGCCAGCCGGGTCTGCCACGTCCGTCACAACCAAAATGACTGTGTTTTTATGTAATGGATGTTTTGTGTTTACACGTCACTTTAGCAGCAGCACCAAAGCATCTGAAGCATCAGCAGCAGCAGTGATGGAGGCCCTTCATCCACATATTCAACCCCGTCCACTGTCTGTTTCTCTGCCTCTCAGCCAAGTGCCTGTTTGTGTCTAAACCTCCCTCAGTCACTTCAACATTATTCCCTCCATTTGCATGTGAATCATTATTTTTTTCAGGTCACCGTGACGCACACACTTCACACCGTCTCCCTGTGGTTGTGTAACACTCGAACCGAGTCTCTCCAGCCATTAAACTAATGGTTTGTATCTCCAAAACTTGTGTGGCCTAGTTTCCTCCACTGTGGGCGACAGATGACGATCTCCACATGAAATATGTGAGCGTGTAGTGTTCAGACTGTGGGAGTTACAGCAGCGTGAGTCAGACAGTTAACCAGTTTGTGCTTCGTTTACTTTCTCAGCTCTTCAAAGCGTCACTCCGATGAGCAACCTTGTCCGGTTTTATTTCTGATGCGCTGATTAATGCGGCGCCGGTATCTTCTTTTTTCCACACGAGGCAGAGCTGACCTTCAGCCACGTTAATCAAAATGTGAGGAAAACCGGAGCCACGAGGGACGCGTTCAGGTCTTCATGTCGGATTGTGACACACAAAAGACAGAACCACAGCGACGTACAGGTATCATCTGAATACATATTTATTAGATAAATATTAGGTTGTCACATCATCTAACTACATACAGTTCTGCAAGACTAAAAATCACAATTAGTTCCTTTATTTTCTGACCAGTTTAGAATATGAAATGATTGTACATACAATGTACAAACATAGAGACAATGGCCACATTTGCATGAATCACCTCAGATTGTGTCATTTTTCCAACTGTTCATGATATCAAAAAATTGTACAAACTATGGATTTGGTTACAATCTTCTGGACCCGTCCCTCCCGCTGCCCGCTCTCCGTCGCCTCCGAGCGATTTTCTCTGTAACCTTGTCTTTTTTTTTTTCTTCTTTTTTTTTGTTTTTAAGCTTTAGCACCTCAAGAGTATGCAGGTGACAGACTAGAACACTTAGGCTAAATATTACATGTAAAACATAGCTGTCCCAGTTCCCCTAACGAAAGAGGTGAAAGTATATTACAGAGGGGGAACGAAATGCTGAGAGATACCCACAGACACTAACTAACGAGTTTCATTTTCCATATTCAGCCACTTCCAGTAGAGGGGTTGCAAGCTTTTTATTATTCTGAAGAAACAATGCACATTCCCAGGGAAAATGAATACATTTCTGTTCACATGTCTCTATATTAATTTACATATATACAGGCATCCTCGGGACGTTTGACCCAGTCTTGCCCTAAGCATCCTCTCCAGGCCAGACTAACCAACGTGCCCTTCCTCTCTGTCTTTTTTTTTTTTTTTTTAAATCATTATTTACCTTTTTTTTTTCTTTTTCTTTTTTAAACAACATCCCCCAGAGAAATGGCCCTTTATTGTGATTGTGCAACTACAGATTTGGGGTGCTGCCTTATGCGCCAAATTGGCTCACTTGAAAAAACAAGAAGGAAAAATATGAAATGACTTCCATGGGATTGTTTGAAAGTTTCAATTCAGATAGCAAAAGAATGAAAATGTGGCAGTGGATCTGTTAAAAGATGGATTTGTTTGTTTTTGATTGGATGTCTCTTTAAACATGAAACATGTCAGTGCTCTGAACAGGAACAAACAATATTCCTTTAAATGACGTTTACATTAAATCAGGGCGGTTAATTCAGCACAATGCTACAATCGAAAGAAATTGGATTTCTAGCCTTACAGATTAATAAGAAAAACCAGTACAAAATAATTTACCAAAAAAAAAAACAAAACAACAAAAGGGGATAAAAATGTATATGGTCTCGTGCTTTTTAAAAAAAGCCACATTTTCTATAACAAAAATATAAACAATATCGTGAATTTCTTTAAAATATGGTTGTGATATATCTTTAAAATACCACCGTGTATTGACAATTAGCAACAATTATGATATTCACATAGCTCACTAATTACACTGAAAGCCAGCTGATACCACATTTAGAAAACAAAATAAAACATTACTGTTCAGTATCACTGATAAAATGTTAACAGAAATTCATGAGGCGACAACATTGATCACTTTTCAGTCGGCGTGAAAGAAAGTATTGCTTCGAACTGACATCTGAAAACTGAAACGACCTCGAGCTGACGCAAGGAAGGGAACCACGACAGAACATGGGACGAAAAATAAAAAAACAGCCGGGAGGAAGTGACTAGAAAAGATGATGACCTGCAGGAAGTAGCTTATGAGAAGGTTTTGGACCGGTTTCCCCCACGACGAGGCGGCCACACAGCTGTCGTGTGCTGGTTACAAACAAAGTCAGTGGTCAGATGGGAGCCTGGGAGCGTTTGTGGTTAGGTCGGACGACTAATGATCAGAGAACGAACATTATCAAGATGATACAAAAATATTCACAATGATATTTACAGTACAATAGCATTTCTTAAAAAATAATACATTTGCATACTGAACAGCACTCTTCTCAAAAAGTGAAATCGAAAACAAATGTGGCAAAAAAGTCTGCACCAATACTGCTTTGAAAACCACTTCTTGAACAGCAGTGATGGATAAAACTGTCCTCCCCCTATATCTTTAAAACCAATATTACCTCCCATCACACCGATAGAAACACACACACACACACACGCAATCACACACACACACACTCAACAAGCGCACACACACTCGCAGTCTTATACAAGCAAACACAAACGTTTCCATTCTCATCCCTCTAACTTTGGTGATGTTGAGCAGTTTCCCAAAAGATTTATGGATAGTTTAATTATGCAGCAACAATTAAACAAAGAAAAAAACAGACATTATAAACATAACACGGTGGATCCAGCAGATACATGAGAAATGCATCGCCGACATCAGCATTATCCCTTCAATGTTAGTGTTAAATAAAATCATACTACATCCGACAGAAATAAAAAAACAAAACGTACAAACAGAAGGTCTGGAAACAGCAACTGATAAAAACCACACTATCTTTTTTTTTCTTTTCTTTTTTTTCTCACCACTTGGAACAGCACTAGACAAGGGCTTGGCACACATGCACGTCGTAGACTACTTAAACAGCACATCATTTAACAGGGAGAGAGATGCGAGTCTGCAAAAACGCTGACACCAGCGACACCGGGGCTCATGCAGAGCAGATGGCATGGAAGGAGCAGAGAAGCAATAAAACGCAGCAGGATCGTCACAGGAACCCCAATCTCTCACATTGTACCTTTCGTTTCCATTAGAGCCGCTCCTTTGTGCGGGGAGGTCGATAGCTATACAGCATTCTGCCGAACAGATGCGGTATTCTCGGTGTGCAATATAAATTTTGTGTTGCTGTAGCGTGGCCAGAATCTGTTTAGGTGTCAACCCTCTGAGAACTTTTTGACAAAAATACGAATATAGCACAACTGTAGACAAAGTGGAAGCCGATCTTTCTCAAAAATCTTTTAAAATTTCCTTTAAAAAAACACTTTGTCAAAGACAGACATACAGCGACTCAGCTGATCTTTAGTTTGTTTTTCTTGTGTAAAGACTTTTTGTTGTTTTTTTTTTTTTTTGCATTGCCAGAATCTCTTTGTGCTTTTAAATGATGCGTGGTGGACAACACAGTGCGACCAACCGGACCACTCAGGGAATGGAGCTGTGACACCAGGAAGCTGTGGCCTCTCAGATTGGAATAACGTGACACACACTGGCCAGATAGCGCAGGTTTTTTTCAGTTATTTGTCTGTTTTTATACAGTGAATTCCTTTTTTTCTTCTCAAAAGGAAACAAAACATGAATAAAAAATGCTACAACACGTTCCTAATGAGCACACACACACACACGTGTGGCATTAAAAAATAAAATAAAATCAACTGGGTATAGCTGCACAGTTCAAAAGTGTCACCGCGGGGCGAGAGGGCGCGGCGGCGGCGTCCCCCTGCATCCCGCCGTGTCTTCGGGTTTTAACCTCTTTCAGTCAATCTGCGCTGGCGAATGAAAATTGTACAAGAGGAAGAAGAGAAAGGGAGTGCATCTTTGTGTTTATCAAGTACTGAGCGACCGCCGTGGGTTCTCAGGGAAACTGCAGGCAGTCAGAAAAGTCTGTGTGTCTGAATCGCCTCAGTTGTTCTCGAAGAGCGATAGAAGGTCATCGTTGCTATTGCTGGGGAGGTCTGGGGGGTCCAGGTACGACAACAGTTCATCTGGGTTAGCCAGCTCTGGAAGAAGCTGCAAAGCAGAAGAGATGTGCTTAGACATCCAGGTAACCTCCACATGTTCTCATTAATTTGAAAACTCTTTCGAGGGACTCACGTCTAAAGATGGCTCAGGCATGTCCGACCCTGCTTGGCTGTCCAAACTGCTGGAGGGGTTGAAGGTCAGGTCGCTGTGGGGATGGTTGTTGGGGCCGGGCTGCTGCTGCTGCTGTTGCTGCTGCTGCTGCTGTTGCTGCTGCTGCTGTTGCTGAGGAGGTGGAGCTTGTCGTGAGGGCTGAGGAGGCCCGCTGTGGTGTAGCTGCTGCCCTGATTGGCTCCCAGGGTGTGGAGACGCATGTAAACTCTGCTGCAATGGACCGTGTGACTGGTCGTTGCCGGCAGAATGAGGTATCTGTAAGGAGAGAGAGAGGGCGGGAAAATGTTCAGAACAGAACTCTCACATGTTTAAATCTAATATTCTGACAATAGCTTTCTATGATTAATGAACTAATCACTCATCTGTCAGAAAAACAGATTCATGTGACACTTGTTGCTTGTTTTGTGAGCAAAATCAAAATAAGTTCCAGTTTAAAATCTTCTGAACTCCAAAACTTGCCGTTAAGTTTGAATATTATGGTGTTTTGGAAAAAAATGGAAAAGAAAAACAAACAAAATGAAGCATTCATCAGAGCCAGAAACTGTAAAAACATAAAGAATTGTTGGATTTTCAGTTTTCAGATGGTACTTGAACTACTCATCTGTGAATCTAAAAAACTTCAATCAAGAAAATTCATCAAAATTCTGTTTCTTAATGCAAACGAGAAGCTTTCAGCAACTCGTCTGCAACCAGCAGTCAGATGACCAACATGTCGGGACTTGAACGGGGCTGAGCTGCAGGCTGTGCACTAAAGAATGCACAGAAAATATTAATGTAAGCAGTGACACATCTTTAGCGCGTAGAGTCACCTTATTTTTCCAAACCTTTACAACACCTGTGGACACTTTGGGAAAATGGTAAACATAAGAGAACAGAGCAGACTGATGCCACTCTGTTAGCAGCTAAACCACTAGCCTGGCTCTGTCCAGGTTTTCCATGCAACCAGTGGAGACTCCAAGAAGTTGCTGGTCTCAGTTTAGAGGTGCTGGTACAAGGGTTTTATTACCTTTGTTTGCACAGAGCAGGATAGCTCCCAAACTTTATGCTAAGCTAAGCTAACTGACATATTTTGCACACTTTTATAAAGAGTGAAACAACAAAGTGAAACACAAAAGCTGTAAATATCTGCTTAAATAATGCAATGAGAAGATAGAACATATAGAAACAAACCAACGGCAGCGACAACAAAAATGAACAAAGACAAAAAGACGCTGGTAAAGCAGAGTCAACAGACGGGGGACGGCGGGAGAACTCACTGAGTCAGGCATGTTGTGGGACAGTGGCTTGTCTTGTGCCATCAGGCTGTTGGGCATGTCGGGTGGGTGCGACAGCGTCGGACCGTGCATGAAGTCGTTCATCGACGTACCACCGGGGGTGCCGTGAGGGAAATCAAAGTTCCCGTGACCTTGGTAGCTGTTGCCTGGACACAACAAATATGAAACTATAAATACACGAGTGCATTTCCTACAGGTACTTGAAGCTTTCTGTAGATCGTCACCTTTGTTTTTTTAAAGAATGTGAGAATAAAGTACCTTGGCTGCCGTATTCGCTGTTGTTGCCTCCTTGCCCAGATGGTAACGACGGGTACGGTGACGGTCCAGGGCCGAGCTGAGCGATCATCTCCATCACGTTGGGCATAATCATCTGACTGGGACTCATCGTCTTAAACCTCTTGGCCAGCGGTCCATCTGGATCCTCCTTGATGTGGATGTCAGATTTGATCGCCACCGGCCGCCAACTACACGTCGGGTCGATCGTCACCTCCTCAAACTCCGAGCTGGTGAAATAAAGATGAACTCAAACGGTTAAGACACAAAGAACGTAAGAGAACACACGTATGCATTTTAAATGTCTGCTCGACCTACTTTTGAATGGCGTTCAGTATACCCCACATGTACTGGTCCACCTCGAGGCCTTCTAACAACGCTGTTTTACTGACAGGAGAAGACGGAAAACTGTTATGACGGCTTATAAAACGCTGAGAAAGGCAATAAAGTGGACTACAGCTAAAACTATAAGGAGGGCATGTATGGTTCAGTTTGTAAAGTGAGTTAACTTACTTGCATACAGGACATCGCCATGTGCCCCGCTCACAGTTCAGTTGTAAATAGGACTCCAAATCAAAACACTGCAGGAAGAAGAAAACAAATCCCGCTTACTATCCAGTAAATATGTTAGTGCATCCATCAGATTGTACCACTTGTGTCTCCTCGTGCGACGGTCTACCTGAACGTGTTTGCAGTCGTGTCCTCTCGCTGGAAGCTGTATTCGCCGGAAGGTGATCGGACATTTGAGAGAAACCTTGATCGCCGTCTGCTCCACGCCGTCCTCTCCGTTCAGCGTGGCGTTGCCCGATGACGCTGCTACGCTGCTGAAGTTCCTCTTAACTATGAGGCAGAAGAAGAAACAGTGTGTAAGCGAGGACTCAGACCAACCAGGGTGTGGAGGTGTACAGTGTGGCTCGTGTGGATACCTTTGGTAATGCAGTGCTCTGCAGGCAGAAGCCTCTTCTTTAGCAAACCCTGGAGGACAGAACGCACCGACGGCCTGTGGACCAGCTGCAGCACGAACAAGTGCGACTGTGGAAAGAAACATCACGTCAGCATCACAAACATCCTATGAAGGTTGTGTACACCTGTTTGCTTCTGTTCTGGAGATCAGTGTACTCACACAGCAGCAGGCAGTGACTGTGATCTGGATCGTGTTCCTTCCTGGCTGGCATACGTGTTTCAAGTGCAGGGGTTTGTGGGAGGTCTTGTTGTCGCCCCGCTCGATGGTGAGCGGCGTGGCGTTGACGCTGACTTGGACCGACGCCGGCCAGTTGGTGTTCATCTGACGGTCTTCGTGGTGGTAGCACTTAAACTGCAGCTCCAGGTCCGACCTGCACAGAGCAGCAAACCAAGAAGGAATGTAAAAGCTGCAGCAGTGGCAGGAGGGTGAACTGAGGACGATGTGATCTCTCAGGCAAAATCCAAACATGGAGCCTCCTGATAAACTGTGGATATGAGTGTGGCTTGTTTGCCTTTCTCTCTTACAATCACTGTAACCATTAAAAAAGGATTAAAGAAACTGCCGTCCCCACTTCTAATGTTATTTCTACCCACAAGCCATCCTGCATATGAAAACTCCTATTATCGAGCCAGAGAATATATTATTGTAGATTTGTGCCTACAATGTGAAAAACCAGCTGTTTCAAAGGACACAACTGTCAAAAGGAGTTCGCTGGAGCGGGAGAAAATGAACACAAGGATAACATAACGCTGTATGATGAATCAGCACATTATGTCTCACCTCCACATGAGTGTCTGGTGTACAGAGGGCCGTAAGTGGAAGACATGGTTGCTGACAGCCAGGTTGTGCTCTAGCCTGAAGGGCTCCAGGACGACCCCGTCCCGCACTGGGAACGTCAGGCGCAGCTCCTCGTTATGGTTGGCTGCGTTAGCGGAGAAGAACCAACGTCAGCTTTATCAAAACCTTCAAAAGGCCAAAGAAGTTCGTTTTCATTTCTGTTTTATTTACTGACCCGGAGGGGGAGGGAGAGCAGTGATATTTGGTTTGATGTCAGGAGGGAAGGGCGGCTTCACGTCCTGGTTTGGCGACAGGTATGGAGGGATGTTGCTGCCAGGGGTCATTGGAGGGGTGGGGTTGCCTGGCACTGGGGAGTGTGGGTAGTTACCCACTGGTCTGGGAGGCTACACAGAAGAAAACTCATGAGTAAATCAAATATTCACGAGACTATAAACAGCAGTCCAAGGAGTCTGACAATGGAATAAAACAACACTGGAAGAAAGATGGACTCACCCCATTCATGTTGCCCTGGTTGTACTGATATCCACTCCCAGAGAAGTTGTTTGTTTGGCCATTGAAAGGTGGCTCTTGCTGCAATTTGATAAAAAATACATTTTTATTTGTAAAAATCATTTCATCTGGTGTGACACCCCCTTGAGCAACTCTATCTGCTTCAGGGGCAACACAGTGTTGCTATGACCTAAGCTTCCTAACAAGCCGATATATGTGAAAAGGCAACATTTCCCCTCGTGGGATCAAATAATGGCATCTAGAAATCACATTTTTACTGAACAGCCTCCACACCTTATAGTACTGGCCCATGGCGCCGCTGGGTGGTGGGTACTGGCCCTGCAGCTGCTGTCCTGGCATCCTCTGGCCGGGGTAGTTCGGGGATGGCAGCGGCCTGGAGGCGTTGGGCGTGGGGTACTGCCCCTGCTGGTTCGGGAACTGGCTGTTTGGTCCATACTGCTGCCCACCATAGTTTGGCTGTAGATGTAGTGATGACAGCATTATTTAACATACAGCAACCAAGCTAAACACCGGCTGTGTTGAACTGGCATCCACTCACCTCCCCTGGGTAGGGTCTTTTCATGCCCTGCATGCCCATGCCCTGAGGCCGGGGCCCCGCATAGCCTTGCTGGGGCATCCTTTGGCCGTGGGCCCCGAAAGGCCCCATGCCTTGGCCCCTGGGTTGGTTCATTCCCATCGGGGGTCCGCTCATGTTGGATGCACTCATGCCCGTGCCCATGTTTCCAGGGAGGGATGGAGGGCCGCGGGGTCCTGGCTGGTTCATGAACTGGCTGTTGTACGCCTGGTTTGGTCCCATCTGGAAAGAGGAACTCATCTGGAAGACAAAATGGGTTCAATCAGCCATCTCAGACATTACTGTCAATGCTGCAAATTTTCCATTGAAACGAGCCTATTATAGATCACAAAAGACTAAAATCTGTGAGCAACAGACAAAAAGGGTTATAACATCTGAAAAAAAATTCACTGTCTGCGAGCTTTTGTTGTAGCTAAATGTGCTATTTGACTCCATTACTTCTTTGTCTAATTATCCTCCCAACAATGATTTTGCCTTGTTCAACAATAAATCTAATTTCACTTTTCTCGTACTATTGTTGGTCCCGAAAGCACAGAAACTAAAAGCAAAGTCAGTGAGCATAAAACAGACTCATAAGCAGTGTGTGATGTGCACATGAATGCAACCGTTTCCTCCATGCTACCGGTCGTGTGCTTGGTCTTACCGGCCCGTATTGGTTCATGTCCTTGTTCTGGGTTTCCTGCAGGGCGGCTACGGTTGCCGTGGCGGTGGCAGTTGCGGTGGCAGCGGCAGCAGCGACTGCAGCGGCGGCGGCGGCAGCGGCAGGTTGAGTGAAGTCTGAGGGAGGACGGGAGTGTGGAGGGATGCCCATTCCACCGGGTCCAGCGTTCGGCCCTCCAGGGTAACTGTGACGATACAACATAATAAGTTACTCCACATCTTTGTGCGAGAAGAGAGAAATCATTTTAACTCAAGTTGCTGCAGAGACACTTTTTTTTAAAATCACTGCAAACACGAGTGCTTGTCCACTCACTTGCCACCAAAGCCTCCTCCTCCAGGGTAGTTGGGTCGCCCGTACATGCCCTGCTGCATGTATCCCTGATTGGAGTTGCCCTTGTTGGGGAACTGCTGCTGTGGACCGGGGAACTGAGGAGAGTTCATACCTGGATTGCTTCCAGACATACCCGAGCCCATAGGGTTACCGCCAGGGTTCATGGGATTGCTGTTGTTGGCCATGGGATTCCCCAACACCTGTAGGACACAGAATCAACCACACAGGTGAATGTTTAAGCTCTTTGAGGTTCGACTCACAATCAGAACAGAGGTCTGTGTGGCACAGAAATACAAGAAAGTGCAGCTGCAATTTTAAAAGACATATTAGGTGTTAAATCTGGGAACTCCACTGGATGTGACTCTGAGCTTTTTTTTGTGGGGAACAACTTCAGTCATTTGAGATTCTTCTGCTCACACTAGCATCACTTGTAAAGGTCATCTGATGTCATCAAATTACTCTACATACATGTGCAGTATACCCTACAGCCATCAGTACATTAAAGGAATTCACAAAATTATCTGAGCAGTTTGCATTTTAGTGAAAGTATTTCGCTCCTCCAGTGGCATCAGAGTCGCTTTGCTTTGTAAAAATTAATATTAATGTCATTCCTTTAATTTGGTAATGACCCAATAAATTAAAATTATATTAGTCTTGAAATAAACAACTCCTTATGTTCATACCCTTGTTAACGAAAAGGATGTATTACAGATTACATCATCATTACCTTCATACTGTAGTGGATTAATGTGTCAGTTTTAATCCACAATTATGCCACTTAGTCAAAAGCTTTGAAACTAACCAAGACATTTTCCTTCAAAGATAACTATTATAGAAATTAATGTCTCTGATGTCCATGAAGGTATCTCCTGAAGTCTCCTCCTGACAAACCTCTCGCAGCAGCATTGAAAAATTACATTTGGATGCGGTCGACTGGGACGCATGTTTCCTCCCTCAGACAGGTGGGAAGGTCTCACCTGGCTCTGTGAAGTGTTGGTCACGCCCCAGACGGTGGTCACCACGGACACTGAACCTGGAGGCTGATTGGTGTTTTGTTGCCAGGGAACTGAGTCGTAGGGAAAAGACCCATCTCTGCAGGGACAGACGACAACAAATGTTTACCATGTGCAACGGTGCACTCACGATGAGCATTTGCCGAATGCAAAAGCATTTTCTTCCTCTCAAAATGCACACATTGTAATTATGGACGCTGCGCATATGCATACGACGGACTGACGCACTGTTTGTCACCATCGTCTGCGCTACAAGCAGTTTGTCTGGCAGTTTGTCTCGCCACTGATCCATAAGGAACACTGGGCTTCACATGGAGAGGAAGGGCTTTCCCCAAGGGCCCGGTCTGTCTGTTCACACAGCCGACACACACAAACACAGCATCGCACACAAGCCAAAAAGCACAGCAGTGCGAACACTGACCCGTGTGAGAGGCTGGGCTTCATGGAACTCATGGGAGGCTGCATGGGCACTTTTCCCGGAGGCTCGTTCTGCCTGTTCTTCTGGTGACGGAGAAGGAGGAGGCGTCCCAGCTCCTCGCACCACGAGGACAGAAGGGCTGGAAAGGGAACACAGGAAAGAGCATATCAGGTGCTGTTGGGACACCTGTGTGAAATAGCTGCAGAGGTAATATCCCCCCACTGCAAGCACTTCAAAAACAAACAAAAAGCTGATTACGTGAGAGGACGGAAGGCAGATGAAACAAGTCGGGAACAGAAAGCTTCTGAGCAAAACTGGACATAAAATTGAAAAGCAATGGCCTGACTGACAAAACGATTGTGCATAAAAATAAATGTGCATAAAACTGTGCTGTGCAGGGTACCTCCAGAACCAAACAGACAAACAGCACGGCACGTCACATACAGATGCAACAGGATTAAACATCCTACTGGTCATTCAATTAATTAAAAAGACTTGTTTAGATGAACCGTTTAAAGCTCCTTTACATTTTTTTTTATTTCCAGCAAGAGACTTGTTTTGCTTGTCGTGAGGTTTCTTAATCATGTAACAGTCGAATAAACAAACGGAGTGGAAGAACAAGACGCAGGTTAAATGTACGACACGGCTCGTATTTAGAGTTTGCATTGAATGCTGCACATGCGCTCATAAACACACATCATCACACTTATGTCATTGCACAAATAGACATTTCCAACACACATGTACATGCAAAATAACACTTGTGCCGTCTATGTTATCTCTTCTGTTGTTTTAATCTGATTCTATTCAACCATCGTGTTTGTTGTCTAGTTTAAAAGGCTAACTATGGACACAAATGACCTAAATCTGAGCTTCCCAGAATATTCTGCATCTAGCAAATCCCTCTCACAGTACAAAACAAAAGGATGCAACTTCATGCTGCAACATCAACCACCAGCTGAACTCCAGCATGTCACTGCTGCTCACAGCCACTAGGGTTCACTCTGGGCCCGCGGATGAAGCCCCAGTCCTCCCCTGCTCCCCACCTACCTACCTACCGCTCGCTTAGGTGGCTACCACAGAGTGCGTTTGATCGAATCATATGCTTTTCATCTGCAGTGCATGTGTTTGTACTGTGCCAACTACAAAAGACTCACTTTTCCCTTTTTCTCTCTCTCCCTCTCGCTTCCTCTGCCGCCTTTCGAGCCTCTCCTCTGCAGCGTCAGAGGAGAAAGGGAATGTGGATTCAATCAAAGAGCAGGGCAGCCACCTCCTCTTATGATTCACAGCACTTCTAGGCTGAGCAGAGGGAGCGGGAGGGGAGGGTGAAACGGAGCGCTCGGTGATTTTCAGCTGCGGTTCCTCGCAAAAAAAAAAAAAAGAAAAGAAAGAAAGCCACGTCAATACGACCACAGACAGTGCAGGCTGTGGTCATATTGGGGGCTGATGGGGAGGGAGGAACAAACAAAAGCTCCTGACTCCCATCACAAACATGGCAACCCGGAGATGTGACCACACCACGGCTGCTTGCAAACAAGCTTAGTGACACAGATAAAGGGAAGACAGTGCAGTGGCTTATAATAACACACACAGAGTGGGCAGGATAAATGGGACACAAGATGTCCTCTGCCGAAATTTCCGAGGACAAAACTGGGTTTCTGCATCGGCACACAAACACACACACCTTCCTCAGTCAGAGCTCTGCACCCCAAAAGGCACCTCCTATCCTTTCATTTGAACACTGAGCACACCAGCCTCGCTCTGTGTAAAGATGAGGGCTGGAATACAAAAGACATGTACAGATGGTGCCAGCAGTCTCCCTGCCTCTCCCTCGCCCTCCCCTCCTGCTCCTTTAAAAGCAGCACGGGGCTCAGGCACAGAGGCAGCTGGGTTTTTCCTCCTTCCCACCCGCTCATGCTCCCTCGCTTTTTCTCTCCTCCTCCTCCTCCTCCTCCTCCTCCCCTCCTCCAACCCTTTTCCTCCCTCCTGTTCTTGGCAAGGCAGGTGCCAGGAGACAGGCTGTGCTGTTCCTCCGGAGAATTGATCCGACTTCACCGCGGCTGCGCTTTGGTTGACAGGAAACAAAAAAAAAAGAAGAAGAAGATAGGCCGCTCAGGTGCACTTAAAAACATCAGGTGAAAGGCACAGATTCCTAAGTTACCTCTAATTAAACACAAGCGGATCCGAGCATGGCTAATGGGTTTACAAGTTTCGCATCTATGTTCGAATGTCCTGCAGTGTTTTTTAGCAGCACCCTCCCTCTCGCCTCAGACTCCCTTCTGATGGAGAGAGTTTTCAATTCAAGGGCCTGGCGACCAGCCAGCGTGTTACAGCTCAATTAGGTCCCATTATTCTCCTCCAACAAGGGGTAACTTGCACTTCTTCTATGTTGATAAACATGTCTCCACAATTTATCCCCTCGCTGTGCCACCGTGAGGCCGTCTGGCTACAGCCGACGGTATCCTGGTTTCACACCGAGGCTGACATCAACAGCCGCAGGACAAAAACAACACCAGCGTTTGAGCCGAGCACAGATATGACAATATATAGGCTGACTGAGAGAAGGGAAAAAGGAGGAGGAGGAGGAGGAGGAGGAGGAGGAGGCAACAGTGCCGCCACTTAAAGAAGAATTATTCTACCCCACCATTAGATGAAGGGCTTATCGCCACACAAAATTACCACCTCCACTGAGCGCCAACCTGTTTAAAGGAGAGGCACTGTCATTGACTCAGAGGATAAACTTCAGGTTTCATATGACAGGAGGAGGAACAGCCAACCTCCTCCTCCACCCAAACATCTCAGGACAGTGCAGATGATGAGCACAAAGGGATTACTGTTTCTCCTCTCCTCCCACAGACGGCCCTTCAATAGACTCATCTGTTTCCCTCCAAGAGAAGAGCCAAAAACTGGAGATAATCGTCTCAGGTGTAGCCCTTCCAAAATCTCAAAGACCACTCTGGAGCGAATCAAACCGCCGTTTTCGTGCTGCGGAGCATCTTTCTGCCGTGTTTACATTGGTCTCCCTGGCGGCGGTGAGCCTCTGTCTTCCATAAGGAGAGGAGGCTATCCTGTTTGCCTTGTAGATGGTCCCGGGGGGCGGCCCGGCTGAGTCTGAGCCGTATTGATATTCTGGTGCTCAGCTGCCCGGCCTGATGGTCAACCATGGTGAAGGGCGGTGAGCGCATCTGCTGGGACTAGATGGGTGGCTCAGTGACTGGGGCCTGCAGCTTCCAGCTTCGCTCGCTGTCATAAAGCCCCGGGGAGATATGACAAATGACACGGACTGCATCCCTGACAGTTGTTCAATGTTCTTCCCAATGATAATGCTCCCCCCACCCCACCTTTCACCGCACATACAGACGGGAGGCAGACAGATAAACTGCGCTGATTAAACGCTGTGATTCAGTCTCCGTTTTGCTCTCCTGATAGAAGAGGGGCCTTCGGGTTTAGGGTCACTTCACTCAGATGACAAAGAACAGATTTTTTTCACTTACCTGCCGTTAGGTTTGGCTGGATGTGAATCTTAATTCCAAAAAAATCTCCAGGAATGTGTGATTCCAGAGAATTTTTATATATATATTTTTTGAATAGTTGACTTGATCAGTTTGCAGCAGAGTTCCTGGCAATAAGGAGGCGTGTTGGGATTTTACAGCAGCTACAGTATTTAGGCCAAGTAACTGTGCTGTGGCTGACGTACGCCTCCTCAAAAATGTATCTGTAAGGTATACAGAGAGCCAACGTGAACATGCTGCTTCTAAGAAAACCTCTTTGAAATTCTCTCAATTTGTCACATGGCTTGTTTTACATGTTACGTGTTCTTCTGTGCTTACAAAGGAACAGGCATTAAAGTTTAGCTCAGAAAAGGCAAACAAAAAATGCATTGAACTACTTGGGCTATGCTGAATGTGACAGCAGATCATATATAAAAGATGGTTGGAAAGTGAAGCCAACACTGAACTGCCTCAAACTTCTTTCCAGCGGCCACCAGGGGGCGACTCCTCTGGCTGGAAAAGAAGTCTGATTGTACAGAAGCCTGAGAGAAAACTACCCGACTTCTCACTTGACTTGTTACCTCAGTAAACACTTTGCTAATGAGTCTATGGTCTCAAGCTCAAGTTCCAGGACTCCTTCTATGCAGCATGATGTTCATTTAGTAAATTCTGGTCCCATTTAGAGCAAAACGGACAATAAAGTGGGGTTCGTTTTAGGGCTGATTGACGAATCAAAACTATAGTGTCAACAAGTTCTGAGTCACACACATCCCTCGTTTGTTTTCTGGTTTGAAAAGATCAAGATGGAAAAAAGTGAATGACAAACTGGAAAAACAGCAGATCCACAAACCAACAGACTACATCCCTTTTTTATAAACACTCTGTGGTCGTCCATCTTTTATAATATGGTGTAGACTAGCTGTGACTTTGTGTTTGTAAAACCTTAAAAATGATCCCAAATGGTTCCAGAAGGTCTCAGATGACACCGATCTGAACTCACGGCTTCCGTTTAAGTTCTTGTGATTTCTTGCAGAACTGGTGTCACAAAGTAAGAAGTGAGGCACCAGCGATGTTAACGCACTTACTGTGATGATGCAGGCTAACAACAATACATGTGTTTACCGTGTCACTGGTGCTATTGCTGCTAGAAAGTCTCATGACGACCTTCAAGTCAGAACGCTTGCTGTAGGCATCAACACAAGAGACTCCTTCAGTCCACTGCGTCAACTATAAATACAGCCGACCAAAGGAATGGTCCCTGTGGACCATCTGAAGTAAAGAGGACAGTGTTCAAGATTATTTTTCTGAACTTTAGACACCACAAGTGACAAGGTGCTGGTGGAACAACTGGTGGGAGAGGATAACCCTACAAACATGACAAGCACTAAGGTCACCTCCATACTCGCTGCCTCCTGCACAACATTTTTCTCTCCTCTTTGTCTTTTTGCTTCTCTATCTCCCCTTTTGCCTCCGTTTCCTGGCAGGACGCTGCAGGGGAGGCAGCAGGTAAGGCAGATGCCAAGAGCTCTTATGATTCTTGTCCGTCTCCCCCCTCTCGTCTCCCCCTTTCCTCCCCCTCGTTCTGCTCTGTATCTAACAGACACCTGCTCCCTTGTCAGCCCTGGACTCCCACCTGGCATCGTCCCAC